GGCCTGGAGCACAACTCCTGTGAGGAACAGCTGAGGGAACTGGGGTTGTTTAGTCTGGGGAAGAGGAGGCTCAGGGGAGACCTTATTGCTCTTTACAACTGTCTGAAAGGAAGGTGTGGGGAGCTGGGCGTCAGCCTCTTCTTGCAGATAACTAGTGATAGGACTAGAAGGAATGGCCTCAAGTTGTGCCAGGGGAGGTTTAGGTTGGAAATGACATTTCTTCTCAGAAAGAGCAGTCAGGCACTGGAATGGGTTGCCCAGGGAGGTGGTGGAGTCACTGTCCCCGGGGGTATTTAAGGAAAGGTTGGACATGATGCTTAGGGACATGGTTTAGTGGGTGACATTGGTGGTAGGGGGATCATTGGACCAGATGATCTTGGAGGTCTTTTCCAACCCTAATGATTCTATGTTTACCAGGTCTGCTTTCACCATCTCTCCTTAGCACAAAACCTACATCTGACCTTGTTCTTCCCACAATTTTTCAAAGCTGAGTGAAGAGACACTTAAGAAGAGACTGACTGCAGAGCTCCTGAGCTGTGCAATACAGGTTGCGTTTCAGGAGGAAATGTGATTCTTTATGGGCCAAAAAGGCCAATTTGGATGTAATGGATCACAGAATCACAGAACTGTAGGGGTTGGAAGGGACCTCAAAAGATCATGCAGTCTTAAACCTCACTATTAATTTCAAGATTGTTTCTTGATCCTTTTGTATATAGGACTATATAAGTATATGTAGAAATATGCAGGATTCAGATCATTATCAGCAATAACTGTATGAAATAGCAACAGCCTATGCTATGCAAAAGGTCAAATAACACTTCTTCTTCTTAGGATCATTAAACTTCCCCCGTGCTTTACAAAAAAGCTGCAAATCATACCATGCACTGATTTCAGGTAATCTACAGTTTTCAGTGGCATTCCATGGAAGCTATGTATCCAGTTTAGCATTTATAACTTTGGGTGCACTGTAAATAATAATTGTCATGTGATATTATATGATTATGTTCTTGAAATAAATACTAAAAGAACATGCTGTGAAGAGAAATTGCATTGATCCTCATCTCATATGGAAAAGGTATGAATACCTACAGGGAAGCACTGCCAAATTCATTGACTCTTTAAAAAAAAATAAAGGATGGAATGATGTAGTAGACCACAGACCTTTATAAAAAAAAGAGTGGTACACAATGCTACAGTAGTGGTACACAAGTAGTACTTTTCTAAGACCCCTTCCTCCATTTCAGAGAACCTTCATCCTTTACCTTCACAGTAATCCAGCTGTAGTTCCCCATGACAGCATTATGTTTGTGTTTTAAAGTTACAATGTCTATATACCATATTTTTATATGTGCAAACACTGATGGAGTACATGCGGGGACTGTATATGGTATTCTTCTGTACATCAGGGAACTTCTGAAGCTCAAAAGAGAACTGGTTGTTTGTCATCCAAACTCCGTAATTTGTTCCACAAAGTAATTATCAGGAGAAATATAAGAATTTCCTCTCTGTTCATCTTCAGTAAGTCACTAAGATAGCCTAACAACTTCCAAAGATTTCTGTATTATGACAGGATCCCTGAACCTGCAGGGAGCACTTGCATGGTTAGATTCATACCGCAGGCTCTGGAGTAAGACAGGTGTCCATTGTAAGAGCATAAAACTAAATGTATGCAAGTGTGCTGTGCAGCTGTTGTACAACAGACATCTTCCAATGGTACATCTGACAAGTGGATCTAGTGTCTAAATTAAGCTGTTCAAAAATGACACATCTTGTCATCAAGTTCCTCTTACCTTATGGGAAATAAGATGTCAAGATTTTAAGAAAGCAGAAGTAAATTGAAATAGGTATTAAAAACAGACCACCGTGCCTAAAATGTATTCTAGGAAAAAGAGTCACAGTTCTCAGAAGAAAGCTTGCACTGAGAGAGACTAATTGAAAGGTAGTGTATAATCAAGACAAAAACACAGCCTGTAGTGCAAATCTGCAGAAAGGAAAAGCTTTACCTCACAACTTTGCTTGGTATTTTCAGCTGTACCAGGGCTGACACCAGAATCGTGCAAGTCATTAATGATCATCACAAAAAATTACACCAAGCTATAGGAGTTTTAAGTATCATTAAAGTATTAAAATAACATCATTATTGTGTGATGGCAATTGTTAAAATTTCAATCTGTATTTCAAGGAAATTAATTAAACTACACCACAGTTCAGAAAAGGTCTCGGGCAGACATAATAAAGGACTGCAAAATAAAACTCTTTACTGGCATCACAGAATCACAGAATCACAGAATGGCTAAGGTTGAAAGGGACCTCTAAAGATCTAGTCCAATCCCCCTGCCAAGCAGGATCACCTGCACATTGTGCAGGATGGCACCCAGGAGGGTTCTGAATATCTCCAGAGAAGGAGACACCACAACCTCTCTGGGCAATTAGTATGTCTTCTTTGAAACTGTATAAAACTCCACTAAATAACCCAGGATCCAAGTCACAGAAGTGAAACTCATCACTAAGTATACATACACCCAGACACGACCCCACCTTCATCTGTGTGGAGGAACTATTGAAAGAGAATGGTCATCCATCCATGAATGTTTAATCTGTGGCATCTCATTCGATACAGAGAGACTATGTAAGTGGCTTTGAGACATGGCTATCTGTAGAAGATGGGATCAAGACACAGAATCTAAAAATAAAAACACCTGATGATTATGACAGCTGATGAAGTTACTGTGGTATCAAAACCACAAGGACTCTCAACCTCTTTATCCACTAAGGATATTAAATATGGGATCCATGAAGTGACCTAAGGCTAGATCCCATGTAGCTTTACCTTTAATAACAGTCCTCCCGATTCTACTTAATAAATTACTGTATTTCTTAGATCTTCTATTGCAGCAGTATTAAATGTATTGTTTCAGTCAGGTCACTCTTTGCTCCCTTTATATGTATACATTTATATAAACACACACAGAGGAACATATGCACACTTATGTGTAGATGAAGCAGCAATAAAGCCTACATTTGACTACTATAAGCTGCCTCTACCAGAGCTTTCAGAAGAATGAATCATAAATTTCCTTAAGATCCTTTGGCAAACTCAAGCTAGATTCAAACTAAGATCCTTCCCTTCTCACCTACAGCACTGCAAAATCATTAATGGAGACTCTACATTGCTTATTGAGTCATTCAAGCATACACAGAGCATGCTAGATTTCTTCCTGCTATCTCCATCTCTCCAGGTTATGCAAGGACACCTTTGCATTTTTGCAAAGCTTGTTAGATTATGCTGCTTGCAAAGGCACTGAGGAATATGTGTCCAATGGCAAATATATTTTTAACTTTGTTTTGAAGCACTGACAAACTCAAAAGGATAGCAAAAATGCACTTTCTTTATGCTGAGAGATGTCTGAGAGAAAAGTCATTCTGCGGGATTTTGATCTCTAGGGTGGGAAAGCAAGATTTTTATTTTTTGTTTTTTATTGTAGAGCAGGTAACTTTCAATTTTATTTCATTTTAATAGTTCAATAGTTGTCTGAACAGGAAGAAACCCTGCTGTTTGATTCGTCCCATGGACAACAGATAAAACCTGGTGATTTATATAATTTTATTATCCAAACTTTACATATAACTCACTTTGTCTTATCTCATTCTGTCACAGACAGCACACATAGTAATACATTCAAAGGTGAGAGAGAAGGAATTGGTGCCTTTTCCACAGGCTTCTATTCAGGGTTTGGTTGCTGACTGATCTGACAGAAAGCCATATTTTTAAAAGGCAGATATGAACATGAGGGGGCAAATAGCCTACTCAAAAAGTACACAGATTTACCTTTGGCTTAAATCAGAGTAAATCCAATAAATAGATGCTTTTGCAAATCCTATTCGCAGCATATATGCATACCATGCCTGCAGTCAGAATGCCTGACCATGATGCCACTGAGAGTCACAGGGAATAACTCTGACATGACTTCTGTGTAAGCAGTAACCTTTCTGAATTTAGTTCCACAGGACTATCATAGATGATGCCAGCTTCAACTCATATGTAGTTGCTGGCCACACTGAAAAACTGTGATGAATGGTGTCGGACCATTCATACACTGATATTAAATACAATTTTCCACAGCTTTAGTGTTTTTTTTAGATTACACAGGGTTCCATAGAACTCATAAGAGGTGAAATGAAAAGGATTCTAAACTGCAAGGTCAGTCCTAAAATTAAGAAATTTTATCCTCCTATATACTCTTTTACAATACTGCACTGATCCAGTAGCTTGAGGCAAAGATTAATTTCAGAATGAATCTTATTCTTGTTTACTGTATGCACTCCCAAACATCATGAGAGGGTGCATCATTTAGCATGTAAAATTCCTGGTTCTCATTCATATGGGACTCGAAGAAAGGAAAACCTGCAAAACTGGCCAGACTGTGCGCATACCACCACAGTGCTCCTGGCCTCGGTCACTGCTAGATCAGACAATTCAAAGAAAATCTCCTCATGGCTTTTTTATCACAATACAAAGAATGTTTCTTTCCAGAGGTCCATGAGCAAATAAGGGCCAGAAGCACTTCAAGACCTTGTAGCATTATCACTAGTGTATTATCTGAACAGAGCTGAGATAGAAGCTCAAGGACTGACATGACCCTGAGCTTTTAGAAGGGTGCCAGAGGAACATGAAAACAACCCAGTGCACTTCCTGTAGCTTATCTGATAATGGCTACTCTAGCATAATAGCTGTCAGTGAAATATATAACTCTTTTAAATTTCTATGATTACTATGCAAGCCTACTTCTCATCTCCCTTACTTGCAATATGTTTTGGTTTTTGTTTTTTTTTAATTTTGGAGTAAAATCTAGTTAATATGCATTACATTTTTGCATCTTAAATGAACAATAGCATGAAACAAATCTGAAATAATTCAATAGTTTAACAACTTTGTATGGTCCACTGCTACTTAAGGCGTTAGAAAATGCATTGTTTATCCCAGCAAGCATACAACTTACCCTCAGCATAGGGCCATTCTGGAACACATGGGGCTCATCACAAACAACACAGTATTCATTCAATACTGGTATCCGCTGCTCAGCAAATTCAATAGTCTGAGAACAATGAAAATGAGAATAACAACATCTGCTTAAAAATAATTAAAGTCAGCATGTGCTCCAGAATGTTTCAAAAATGGGTAAGATATGGCATCCTACCTGCACAAGAAAGCCACGGTCTCGTACCGGAATGCATTTTGCACCATAATTTTGCTGCAAGGAAAGAAGTTGAGGCAACTTCAGTTTTGGTAGACTACTTATATGGAAATGGCAAAACGTTTGTAATGTTTGTATGCAGATATGCTAATTAAACAATATTTGCATCTAAAAAGGTATCTAATTTGCATTAACCATTACAAATAATCAATCCTTTTACTTATTTGCTGAATGTGAGATGGATTTTTAGCTTTTCTAAAATCTGATAAGGTTTTATACCCTAGTATCCCCAAAACTTTAATCTCAAATGGAAACACCCACACCTTCACTCCACTCTGATGAACTGGCATTTAGTAAGTTTAAATTTTAACTGCATATTGTCTATCTAAATATGGACTGTGTGCTTAGGCTTGAATGACTAATGTAATTCACAAAAGTGTTGAAAATCTTTCTTTTATATCTTTTAAAATCTCACCTCTGTGAGCACCATGCTAACAGGACTCTGTGCTCAGATCCCACTCAGGTTCCTCCTGCCTTTTTCTTTCAATGTACGACAGCATAAATTAGAAAGTACTTTTGTTATAGGAGTCAGTAAGGTACAGAACTCCCTCTAGGCTGACATTTATTTTAATCAGCCCTTGTTTTGAATAAGAATCAGATTGGCTCCACAGGCAGAAGCAGAAGAATTAAGTGTGAGCTCAATGTCTTAAAATAACAATATGTGCTACCCTTTGTTTTCTCAATCAATCATATCTCTGGGGAAAGAAAAGTGGGCATTGTGGGCCTAACTCCTTCCCTGACCTCCAGCTGCCACCAACACATTTGAAGGCTAAATTTTTCACAAAGCACAAACGTGCAAGAGGTGAGCTGAACCATGACTGCATTTCTTCCAGTATGCTGTTAACTCCAGATGAAAAGACCAGAAGAGGTGACATGGCACCTTAATGAGCCAAAAGATGGTTGATTCCCCCATGAAGCAAACAGGCAAATTAGTAAAGACCTCTGTGACCATGTCAATTTTGCAGCAGAGAAGCTCACACTGTCTCCTCTTCCTGCAGCAAGAAAGGAGGTAGGGAAGGAAGTGTGTGATTGAACTTTTCCTGTGGCCAGCAACTGTACAGTGAGCTATATTCAAGGTGAGTTGTGAAGTCTGTCTTCACCTAGGTAGATTCTAGTTTTACAACATAAATGTATGAGTAGTTTAAATCCACCTTAAAAAGCTGACTCCATTATTCTTCGGTTACTTTTAAAAACTTCCAAAATATCCTCAAACATACCCCCTGAATATTAATACTTTTGCACAATAAGCATAACAACATGTTTGAAAAATGATGAAGGGTAAATGAGCAGAATAAAAAAAGAAACACTACGCACAGCAGCTTGTGAAGGTGATGATGAAGATGGTGTTAAGATACCAATAAGCCCTGAGGTAAGAGAGAGCCTCCTGCCCTCTGCTATGTTGGACTCCTTGAAAGGCTCCATTTTGGATGATTTAGGGGCATTGGAGTAGGTCTTGCTGAGTAACTTCTGATTCTTCAATCCATCCAATTCTTCCATTCTAAGATTACTAGAGTAAGACCTACTTAAAAGTTTATGGGGCTTCAAGGTGCTGTTGTGCTCACATCGAGGATCCCCAGAACATGACCTACTTAATAACTTATGGGACTTTAAAGTGATGCACTCTTCCTGCTTGACAGCTGCAGAGCAAGAACGGTTCAACAGTTTGTGTGATTTAATAGCCATTGTCTGTTCAGCCCTAGGGTCACTAGACAACGAGCGGCCAAAGGTTCTGTGAGATTTTGTGGCACACACATCCTCTGCCTTAACTGTGCTAGAGCAAGTCCTCCTCAGCAGCTTGTGAGTTTTGGAGATGCCATCCTGTTCTGACTTCAGTTTTGATTTATTTTTACCACAGCCAGGTGGAGGATAACTCGGCGACCTTAAAAATAAAGAAGGGGAAGACATAATTGGAGGATAATCAAAAATGTGCGTGAAATAAGCAAGTCCAGATATATGTCCAAATTTTTAAGTGCTGCCCATCTTCATGTATTTAACTAGTGGCAAACACAGCCCAAAATAATTAATAATAATAATAATAATAATAATAATAATAATAATAATAATAATAATAAGGTATGTAGAACCAAATTTCCAATACCTTCTTAGTCCCATGTATACACAAACTCTCACTGATTGATAGGATGACTAACTATTTACGTAGAAGTTAGGGCTATATACTTACAGCTGTTGGTACAGGTCCCTACATCTTTAAACAAACTATTCATTCAGGAAAATAATTTTGAAATGGAAAGTGTGTATTTCACACAAGATTATAATGCATTTATCTTATCAAAATGTGTCATTCCATCATGGCATGATCCCATTCAAATTATTGTCTTTTGGGCATGGAATCACAATTTCTATGTGCAGATGCTATGGAAGATATAATGAGCAATGAAATTTGCAGGCAGTAAAACAAATTTGATTCTGCTGAAATTAACTTTTTTAAAAAACCTCACAGTAATCTGGATGCTTTGTGGAAGATCATTTGATGCTCTTCTGTCCTGTTTTAAACAGATTCTAGCTCTTTAACACTGGAAATGAGAATGCACGGGGCTCACATTTTGAATAAAAAAATAAGAGAGAAGAAGACTTTTTTTTTTTTTAATAAAACAATACACACTTGATCTCTTACATTTCTATAACGTTCACATTCAACTGTCTTTGCAAAGCAAGAATCAGCATCAGGTATGCCAAATCATTTTTCTATGGTTTATAAGGAATCCCAATCTTTCTAGTGTTTTTGGACTCCAATCAAGCAAAAAAGAGGTGAAACCCCAAGGGGAGAGGCTGGCAGCTTTCCTCACCCTGCTACCAAGTGATGACAGCAGAAAATGCATGTGGAGGCTGACTCACAGTTGCAGTTAGCTCATTACCACCCTCGGGCAGAAAGAAAGTAGGAATGGCGCTCTATGGAGAGAGAGAAGTCCCCACATTTGGACTAAGTGATCTCTGCAACTGTAGTAGCAGCCAGCAAATCAACAGGAGAAGGATTGATCTGTCTTTTGTCTGCCCTTTCTGAATAAAACCAAACCCCAAGTTTCAGCAAGCACGGGGCATGGTGTGGCATGGTAGGCAATGAGCAAGCCTACCCTCTACCCTAATTATAACACCATCTTCTTCTTCTACATTTGAGAAGACAGATCTTCAGTCATCTTTAACATTCCTCCCTTCATCAAATGTGGGTGATTTCCGTACTAACCATCTACATTTATTTTTTTAAATACATGGAAATTAGAATTGCAAAATTCATCAAGAAGAAGCAATGTTCAAATAAGTACTCAATACAAATTCACAGAAGGGGTGATTTGTCAACCCTTCATAAGCAAGCAAACATACTAGAGTAAATAGCCGTATTCCTGAAAGGGGTAAAATCATAGCCTCATTTTACAAGTCCTTGAGAGTATGGGTAACATAATGAATTCAACTGAACAATTCACAAACTATTTTCATATGTTTTTAATGCCTTTGTTTTTTGAAATTCTGTGCCTACATTTCAGAAATAGTGAACATTCATTTACTCAACTAGTGGAGAGGAGTGGGTGTTCAGCAGCTCTTAAAATCAGTCTTTGATTAAAGACCATTCTAGATTTAAAAAAAAAATAATAATACACACAGTTGTGCAAAGAACAGCTGGACAACCACAAAATTACATATATATGTTCTTTTTCTTCAAAGTAGCAGTCAAATGCTACCAAGCTACTAAAGATATAAGTACAACCAAGTTAAGTAATATACAATCAATTATTTCCAGTTATGGATGAATCATGGCTGTTTCAGAGTTTGCTTTTGAAGTCATGCAAGGAAATCACTGGAAACACATGAGGTAAGATAGAAACAGAGCACTCCTCTGTGGAGAAAAGTCAACATTTCACCTTTTGAAGTATGCTGTGGATTTTGAACAGGGTATGATAGTAACAGCTCATTTTCCTTGCTATTACCTGCGCAATGTAGAAAAGATGTGCAGAGGAGATTTCACCTTTTTGTCAGACAACTTCTTATTGTGCGTACAATTAGATTTCTCTTTGCTGTTCTTCCACTGTTGTGTTACAAATGTCTGCATGATTCTGCAAATTAGGAAAGAGAAAAAAGATTTTCTCATCATAGCCAAGTCATATGAACTTAAATATTAGGGTTTACCTGTGAACCACGTAGGCTAGATAATGCAACATCCTCACCCTAGAGGCAGAGTTTCTCTATCATATATGTGGACCAATGACTAGGCACTTCAGTTCTTTAAAATTCATGTTCCCCCCCACCCCAGATAAGATTAATTCACAAGGCACTCTTATTAACAATAATGTCTGCATACAATACCACCACAAGACTTAATAGACACATGCCTGTCATGTGAAACACATGCCTCTCATCTAAAAACAAACTGATTCAGAGACATCCCATTCAGCTCTAGGCATCTTTCTCCCCAGTAAATGCAGAGACAAGATACAACATCCACACTGCTCAGGTAGGAGCACATTTCTCCAAAGGCATAAAGGTAGGCATGTCAAGGATTACACTACCCAGAGGGGCTTATAATGAAGCTAGAGCCAGACACTTTCCTGATATGCACACCAAAAGGCAGAGGCCACAAGTCACTCTAAGGGAAGCTAAAAAACATAAAGGCTATAAAGAAAACACATCCACAGGAAAAGTGGCTAAGTACAACAGATTACCAAGAAAGGCTTCAGATTTTCACACCTCAACTGCCTGAGGTTCTTAGTGAACCAATTTAACTTTTAATTTAGTGCAACTTGGGGTGGGAGGTTGTTTTAGATGACCCCCAGAAGTCCCTTCCAAGCTACATTATTCTGTGGTTCTAATCTAGCATTCATGGTCTATGAGAACTAAGCTAAAGAGAAAGTAGAAGTCAGTATGGACATTATTGAAAATTTAGTGAATCTTCAAATATGAATAATCTGGTGCTCATAGCCAGAACAGGTCATGGTGTTCACAAGTATTCTGATTTCTGCTCATCTGTGATTTATTTACTTGAAAATGTTCTATGGGTGCCTTTGGTAATTACCCAGTACACAAATCAGAGGCAGTGCTCATACTAAAATGTTTTAAAAGAGTTTTCTTGTGTGGGGAGCTTTTTAATTTTTTTCTTCAAAGTCATGTATCAGAGAGATTTTAATAACTGTTTCATTCGCAAGATTATGAAAATGCTGCACTAAATTTCTTTAAACACCAAACAGCAAAAGATTTTTTTTTCTTAAGGGAGCCTTACTATTTCAAGGATCGAATATTGAAGCCTATATTCCTGTCATTTCATTACACATATGCAAGCACATAAGAAAAAATTGCTCAGCGAAATTCTATTAAATTGAATTGTATCAGGAACACATGAAACTGCTGGTTTTTTTCTACTATTCTTTCTTCTTGTCCTCAAAACTGGGTGGCCTGATTACTTTGGCAAACCTTAGAGGCCACCATGAAAGTATTGCCTCCTTATGGTATTCATGATGCTCAGAAAGATTCCTGCTAGAGACCTCGTAATCTGAGCAGAAACATTAAATCAAACACTTAGCTACTGTCTTTTCAAACTTATGTATCTTACCTTCTAAATGACAGTAAAGTGACAGAAAACCCTGGCAGACAGCACAAACCAGGTTCTCTGCAACAACTGTCAAAATTTAACCTACAGAGGAAAAAATGCTACTTTTACTTGAATAAAACCAAAACACTTTCATCCAACCGATCTGACAACCTGTGACATGGGCCAGGAACTAAGAAATATGTCATGTTTACTTAAAAAGAGGAGTTCACACTTTTCCAGACTTACTTTTTCAGCTGATGTCCCAGCCCAAATCTTTCCTTAGTAGAAATCTGAAATACATCCACAGTTGGCACTATGGAAAATGGAGATATTGTTGAGTTTAAATGAATAATCAAAATCATAACCATACAAATTATATTTAAGGACTCTGCTCTATTCGTACCTTTAGTGTAAGTAATGGCATTGAAGCAATGGTTAAAGCAGTCGTGTCACCTGAGTCTATGAAGAAATTAAGGGCCATTTTTAGGAGTATCAGCCAATATCATTTGTTGTCTTAACAAAAGGATGTTTTAAACATTGGATTCCCTAGAATGTATGCCTTCCCACTACTGTTAATTACACAAATGTACCTTTGTTACTAGAGAGCTTTGTTACTAACTACTGATTAAATGTATCTGGGCTGGTAATTCGTCTCATCTAATCTCATAATTTTTCTTCCAAGTAAATAGTCTTTACATACACAGATTAAAATGCCCTATCTATAAATAAATTTATGTACTGAATATATTCTTAGTTGAGAAGTCTGAGTGCACCATTTGTTACCTTTTGTTAATAATAGCCATGGGACAATCTCAATAAACTGCTAGATGTAGTTACTGTAGTCCAAAGTGAACTTGCTGTCACTGAAAACAACGATTTTATCCCTTTGTAACTGAAAACAAAATTAAGCCCTTTCCCTGAAAGACATGATATACTTTAGCATGTCATATTGGACCTGATGATCTCCTGAGGTCCCTTCCAACCCTTACAATTCTATGAATTCTGTGATCAAACATATCAGGTTTTCTGCAATAAAATGAGAGTTTTCACACCTAATCTGATCTTCAGAATTCTATAAAGGTGTAGTTCACCGGAGTATTTCCTTTATTTTTCAGAAGACTATTGTATCTAAGAATTAAAATTTCCTAAATAAAAGTAAACTAATTTAAGTTCCTGTTAAGACCTTAGAAACTTACATGACCTTAGATCTAGATGCGGAGAAAAACCCCTTATCTAATCAATTATTTATCCACACTGTTACAGTTCCTATGACTACGAGGAAAATGACAGTGGAATGAACTGAATTTACTAGTATCAGGTTTTCCTTCTGTGGGCATTTTTATAGAAGATGCTTAATACTCATCATCCAAGTGCCTGATGTATGCATTCCAGTGGCCAAGTGACCCTGCATTTTACTCAAGACCCATCCTACCAGTGATACATCCACATTCATCTGTCAGAAAATTGAAAACATTAGGGATAGAGGCTAGAAATTAGCTCCTGGTATTATTAAAATCTTTGAGTAACATAGAAGAAGAAGGTGTCAGAAGTCCAGCATTTGTTGCGAGACCCTCAGGTCCTTGAGGTGGAACAACAGCCAACACATATTGCAAACACAAATGAGACTAAATACTTTGTATTACATAAGGAACTAATGACCATAGTAAAATAAAAAGGAATGAAAACAAAAAATCTGGGGTTTCTTCTTAGAAAATCAGTACTTTTAAATCTGTATTATTCTGATCACTCTTAACCAGAATGCCAGTTTATCTCTTAATTTCCCTTTTACAAATTAATTTAAAAAATAAAATGCAGTGTATATAAACTTGCCATCCAATTTCACTTAGTTCAAAACACTGCAAATGCTTGCCCCAATATTCTCACTCAAATATAACCTCATCTTTTAAAGATAAACTGATGATTTTTTCAAAAGGAAGAAATTACTTGATTAGGGATAGCAATGTCCTTAGATTTTCAAATTTGGGATGCTTGGTAGGGTGTGGACTATCTTCAGAGAGAATTACTACACTTAGTTTCACCAATTTTAAAATCTGATGTCCAGACTGTAATTCTTGTCTAAACTCTAAAATCAGAGGAGACAGCCCAGTATCCTCAAAGGCTGATTAATCCTAATCTCAGATAGGTTTCTAAGGCCTGGGGGAGAAACTGCTCTCAGGTAAAACAATGAAAAAAGTCATTAACTAGAAGAATGACTGTGTAAAATCAAGATAGTAAACAGCTGGAAGGTGGTAAAAATATCCCCCTTTGTGCCTTGGAGTATACTGCACACAAGAAACTTGTTTCTTTTAGCAGACAACAGGAAGTATTAAAAGAGAAATATATGTGTCACAGAGTTGTGACTTGGTAATCTCAAAACAACATATCCAAGGAGCAAAAGAAGTATTCAGAGAAAGAGCCTCATTTACACAAAAGATTGTGGATTTCATTCTGCTGTTTCTGGTAAATAAAGAGGCATGGCTGAAACAGCAGACATAACAAAGGAGCATTTGACTCTGGCCCTGATCTTGCCCCTCAGTACTCAAGTGCCACCATAATCAGTCAGCTGCAGGACTGAGAACTAAACGTCCTGTTTTAACCTTGTCAGCAGTGCAGAAGATAACTCTTGTTACTTCTCATTTCACTGGATCATTTCTTATTGCATGATGCTCTTCACACTTCAGTCTCTCTTATTTGCTGCACTTTTAAAAATTACATTTTGATAGAAATATTCTGAATACTAACACTGTTACTTGCTATGGCAAATAACTATTTTAAGATCTCCAGAATTAATAAAAGATCAAAGCAATAAAATACAGGCAAAAGGACCAAAGTTGAGCAAAAAATAAGGGGTTGTAACGAAATGCTCATTGGAACGAACAGAATATAACTGATAGTTAGCATCAGCAGACAACATATCCTATAAAAATAGCTCATTGGGACAGATTTTGTTAAACACATTATGACTTGAAATATCTATTCAATTTGCAGAGGCAGAATTCTCCTACAGATACAAGCCTGAATTGACAGCTTGCACTGGAATCCTCCAAATCCAGGCAAGTTATGATCCAAGTCACACACTTCTTGACTTTACTCTGTAAAAATATATCTGAAGTTGACTATTGCATATGAATGTTTCCAAATCTTCTCTCTCAGCTGAATCTTCATGAGTTGGGATATTTGTACTGTCATGAGGAAGCTTTACTGAACAACCAGAGAGTAGGATGTCAACATAGCGTTCAAAAATCTCATTCAAATTTAAAGATCCCCAAGAATACATATGTTCATATAAAAATCAGAAGCTAACAGTATAATTATCATGGTCTAGTTCTTCAAAAGGTATATGAAAAAGGGTATATTAATGCGCTCCATAGATTTGTGCATGTACACCTAATCAGTAGTATCTGCATCTGAGAAGATGATCCCTGATTTCCAAAGTCAGAAAATCACTTTAGAAACTGTAGACATTTATTCATAAACCCTCAGGTTCCTAGTGGAAACAGCTGCATTTCAAAGGATATCAAGAAAACAAATTCCTAAACTCAGCTTCCAGGAGTTTAAACTAGATATACATGCCAATATTAGGGCCTAGTCTTGCAAATACATATAACGATTTCACACCAGCAAGACTGCTCTCAGCAAAAGATTTAAGTACATGAAGGGTCAAAGATTTAGCAGTAAATGGGTATCTGTCACTTAGGATATGGCTGAGACTGAGACAACAAACATGGCATATGAAGAATACATAGGTGACTAACCTGGGCCATTTAAGTACTGTGTAAGCGAACAGTGCAGTCGCACTACTATGGGCTCTGTGCGAATTACATCCCAAGCCACAGCAATCTCTTCCTAGTTCAAGATAAAAAGAAAACAACAGATACCATTAGACATCGTGAAGAATCGTTGCATTTTGCTAGTCTATATTAGGGGCTGGTATAAACACTATCCATCCACTTACCCATCATGGGATATCTACTCCAACTTTAAACGTGAGACTTCAGACAAACTATTGCCTGCTAATGCTCTTAAGAGCAGTGTTAGACTGTTTCCCGTCCTTGAATATGCCCATTTAAACTGAACACAGGTTTCTACATGACACTACATTCACATACTGCTTCAAAACTGAGAAGCAAAGGAGCAAATAAAGATGGAAAGGACACTGAACCTGTAACATAGGGCAAAGGAAATGTTTGCTCCTTCTTAAGACTGATTAAAATTATTCAAGGTATAATCAGGTTCTCTTAATTTTAAAAGAGCCCAAGAAAAACTATCTTCTGTGCTGTGCTGACCTGAGAATATAATACATCTGTACAGAAGGTAATGATGCCCCTAATAGCACTACTTTTCATTCTGCATCTAGAGCACAGGAAGTTACTGCACAGATGAGGTGAGGAAGTGTGGAGCTAATGTCAGCATTACAGTTACACAAGCCATGCTGCCAGTCGACAGCACCACTGTCCCGAGTCTCCTTTGCCACTCAAACCTCTCCCTAATCAGTTGCGGATGTGAGAAGCAGACAGGAGATCTCTAGCCAAGGTCGTGTTCTCTCCAGGACTCTATGAAGTGCTTTCACCTAACTAATGTCTAGGATAGTAAAAAAAGAAATGTATTTCATTTACATCAGTTAAAACATCTACCATTTACAAAGCATGTTTGAAAGGAAATACACAAGCAGTAAATAAAAGCCTAGAACACATCTTAACAACATGACCGTAAAATGAAAAGGAAATCTTTCCACTAGGTAGCAATCATTAACGTCACAGCCACTTGTGAAGGTCAAGCCTCGGAAAAACGCAAGTCTCAGTAGTTGTCTAGAGTGCCTGATGTGTAGCAGAATTAAATGGGTATTAATGTTCATTATGTAATTTTGTGATTAGATTACTTACATCAAGAAAGCTAACATCAATATGCAGATCAATATCTACATCATCAATGGCTCCATATTCCCTGAAAGGAAAGAATTACATTACATTAGAACTCTTTAAAATACTCCTCAGCCCAGGAGTACTTATAACTGGGAAGATTTTATAAAGGATAATCTTGGCTGTAAAATCAGAATGATTATAAAATACACATTTACTTAGATTGGATCAGTATTTCCATTGGGTGAACATCTGCTGTACTGCAACTTTCTTTCTTACCTTGCTTAAATAGGCTATTTGTTTTTATTTTATTTAATAATTCCCCAAAATTTTTGTTCCATCACTGCCATGTACCTTTGATGTACTGCACAAATAAATCAAGGAAACAATAATGGTCATATACTGTTGTTATTTATGACAAAAGAAAATCCTAGTTGATTTTTAGGTTAACAGCCAGTAACCTAAGCAGAGGCTTGAGATAAATAATTGAAGACAAAAACAAAGCCCTGACCGTGGCACATTATACCTGTGGGCTTGCTTCTTACATTCAGGGTATTTATTTGTCAAAACATGCCGATTGCCCTGTAACGTGCTCAAGGCAATAGCTACCTTACTTCATCTGTCACCTGTAGTATTCCTGGAATCTCTAAGGTGCAGATTTAATTTATGCTCATAGGTGTTTCATTGCCATATGAAATCTTAAAGTGTAACTCTTTTCCCTCTTATTTTCTGACCCACTCTCATTGCCCTCCACCAAGGTATTTGAAGACTTCCGAAAAATAGGGCTAGAAAATATTCATTCTTATACCTAAACAAAAGTTACTTTTATTTTAATTACTTGACTGGATAACTCTATAAAAGTGAAATAACTTCCAGTTTTTCACAGATTCGTTGATACACTCCTAGTCTCTGGATTTTGGCTTTACACTGCATTTACACACTTCTCACAATGAATTCATTGCTTTCCTACTAAAAAGAGTGCACACAGTATACTAAGAGTGCATTGTAGCAATTGTGCATAAATGAAGTTGATAAGGTAACCTTGAAATACAGAAGTATTTTTCTTAGGAGATAGCTGATCTCAGATGTTGTTAATTTTCTTGAAGATCCAAAGAACAGATTGCTGTAAACTCACCAGTAATACTTATGAACACAGGCTGGTGTTACTCACATGATAGATTCAAAATGTTGGAATAAAGCTTAATTTTATTAATTAAATAGGAATGGAGTTGAACCAACTAAACACAGAAATGCTAGTATATAAGAAAGGAGAAGATAAAAATAAGTTACAACTTTGGAATTTCCATATTCACTGAAATACCTTTGCCTGCACTCCATTACCATCATAGAAAATGGATTTTAGAGACATGATGGTTTACTTCCTCAAGCTAAAAGCAAGGAAGAACTCATGTTTTCTTCTAGTGCTTGAAGCTTATGATCTACTGCCCACAATCTCTCCAGGAACACGTTTTGATTTTGAAGCTCCAGAGATCCTGTTTATTAATGCTTAAGTAATGTAAGTAGATACTGAAGAGTTGGTCCAGATGCCTTTCTTAAAGGTTGGTGGCCAGCTTTCAAAGGGCTGTGGTAAAAAGCATGCAGGTTTAGGAATTCCCCTTCTGTATATATGTAAAGTTCACTCTGATAGTAGGAGACTACTGAATAATAGGGTTCAACTCTCTAAGAAATGCATTTTAGTGGGTGTCACTGTCAGACAGGCCTGTTGCAGTCAGAGAAGTGTAGCTGTTGGAGAGGGATGAAACTGAATGCTTAATGCTGTGCTTACAATTTCCAAGAATTCACGTGTATTTTCAACTGCAGAGTACAAGAAGCATGGAAGCTTTCCACACACCAAAAGCAACCACAAATGCCAATTTCTAATACAGTGAGCCTGAGGAGATCACAATGCATCCACTGAAACAGTTGATTGAATGTATTAGATTCATTAAGGTTTTGAAAGGTTATTTACCATTACTCAATTTTAGAAGCCTTAGGAAGCATGCTATCAAGGGGTATTCTCAATTTCATAGTTACCAGTTTGGAACCTAAACATTATCTAATTCATTTCCTAAACCCATACACAACCATTTGGATTTTAATTCTCCAGGTCCTAAAAATGTAATGAATTTCCACTTAATTTCAAAAGGCATCGTACATCACAGTTGTACACATACTCTCACACTCTAAAATAACAGATGTTATTGTTACTTGCAATATATGTATGCTTAAGGTTATAATCTCTGTATTTTATTACTTTGTTTATATAACAATTTTGTTATTTTAATTGTAATGTTTCTGACAGGTCTGTTACATCTTCTCTGTTATTTTAATTCAATTATTAATAATTACATAGATGGAAAATGAAGTTAAAAAAGACCTGAAGTGAATAAAACATACCATAAAGCTATATGCTGCTGCAGAATCAGGTACATTCATATATGCCCTAAAGAATTTTTGTGTAATTTATCTTTGCAATTCACCCCTGACCAAGGTTCCACTATTTCCTTGTGTAGGATTCTTCAGTTTCCCACCTCATTACAATTAGAAAGCTTTCCTAAAATCTAACCAAATTCTTGTTTGTTTCTAACAGACTTTCTTATCGTATCTCTCACAGTGACAATGGAGAACACTTGATCACCATTTTTTGAAGTTTTTTTTTTTTTTGAAGAAGAAGAACAACTGTTATTAAATCTTCTCTTTTTCTTTTTTTTTTTTTTTTTTCTCCCCAGACTAGACAAAATCAACTCCTTCAATCTTTGCCTAGGGACAACATCTAGTAAATCTCTTGTTCCACCCCCAGGGCAGAAGACAGAATATGACAAATAAAAAGTTTAACAAGGGTTTAGAGTTCTGATGAATAGTAATTTTCAACAACATACAACAGCTTGATCAAATGCCTACTGAAGTGCAAAGAACAATATTTTAGAACAAGCTTCCAGGGCCTGTTCCAAGCATAGTTAGTTGTTTGAATACTCTGCCACAAAAATGAAGCCAAATACTGCATTATTGCTAGCTATGAGTGCCCCTTCCTTTTGCCACAATATACAGAGCTCAGAGAAGACTTGTGTTTTGGCAGTGAGGGAAAGTTTACACAAAACAGCCTCCAACATGTGACAGGTTCCACAATACAGAAGGGTAGGTGACATACCTGAGAGATACTGCATTAGGTCCATAGATCTCTCTCACTGCTGTCAAATCAGCTTCCAACTGTGGGTGCTTGTGAAGTTCTCCATCATAGCTAACCTACCAAAACAATAGCAAAATTGTAGGAGTTCTTATTTATTTCATTACTGGCATCTGATATAGGCTCATGACAGCTCTCCTTGCAAAATGTGCTGCATAAAGATTTCTTAATGCCATGCTCAGAAAGGACGTTGTGTTGATAAGCTGAAGCACTGAGGTGGTCTAGCTCTTCTAAGCAATGAGATTTGCAAAGCAGGCACCTCTGTATCAGAACTACAGATGGCCCAATTCCTGTTTGTGGAAGAAAAGATGCGAAGATAGATAGATGCCTCTATTCTATCTTGTCCTGGGGACTATTCTGGGCCTCTTGACACTTGTGCATTTTTAACCTGGCAAGTGGAAGGAGAATAAGATAACTCCTGTTATACCATTCCAGTCTAACTACAAAAGGACAAAGGTTTGCTCCCTCTTGCTTGTTGTCACACTCTCATACATTTTGGACACAGAATGGCATGGTCTCAAGAAGAGAAGCATGACACTATTCCATGCACTAAGTCTCTCAACATCTTAGTTACATTTGCTACATTTGAAACCACCAGTGCAATGATGTCAGATTAAAAATAAAAAAGAAAAAAATAAAAAAAAACACCTTCCAATTTTAAGCATTTTTTACCAGATAATGTCTAAAGAAACATATACTGAGATGTCATCACATTTTTTTTCACGAAGTTTAATGAAGAGTGGTTATGGTTATGTCTAGTGTTCATACTATAAAGAAAAAACTTGTGTGCTTGTCTAGTTGGATTGTATGAAGTCAAAATAATTAAATATCCTCTTATCGTCTGCAAGGACAAAAATACCTTATTAGGCTTGTAACAATCTATTAAAAGTCAATTACTACTTTCTCATTAAGCAGTATGCTTGTGATTGTATGACCCTGACTCTACTTCTTTACACCAATTAGAAAAACAGTAATTCCACTAAAGTCAGTGATCTCGTAATTTGGGCACGTTCAGAAACGAGAATAAGACTTGGCTTGTACCTTTGACAAATTCAGACAGCAGAGCACAAGAGTGCAATTTATCCCTTTAGACACATGAATATATCCTTACACATGAATCCTGCTGAGTGTTCCTGCTATTGCAGAGGTCTATGTAACCGCAGTAATGTTCTTCAGTTTGTACATCCAAATCTACCTGACCTCAGTGCTGTAGCACTTCAGTTCTGATATCTGGAGCTGTATTTTTCATTACATACCTAATTCAATACATTTCAATTGAATTAAAATAATAATCACTTGATCACTTTTTACTTATGAAAATTAGCAAATAATTTGATTAGACATAGATTTCATCAAACATTAAGAAGTTCATCAGCATAGCATGTGAACATACTTTGAGCTATCGATGATATTCCCAAACAGAAAGGTATAAACCAGCTATCCCTGCTCTGTATGGATAGGCACGTCAGAAAAGTTTCTCACCTAGACAAGCATAGGAACAAAACCTTTACTAATTTATTTTTATTTTACTTCAGGTGGGAGTAAACAAACCTTTGAATATGTAAATATATATATATATATATATATATATATATATATATTATATGTATATATCGTTACTCAAAAATGAATTGTTTAAATATGCATAAGCAATTGCTGTTCTACTTCCAAAGAAAGCACAGCAATGTTTTCACAGATTATAACCATGGTTCACCCATCACTTTGTTGCTCCCAAAGCACATTTTTTTAACCACTCTAACATATAAGTAATAATAAAATCCAAATGGAACACTATGCAAAACACTAAATTGCTCAGAATACTGCCTTCTATCTATTTTCTGGTGGTATGAGCTAATGAACTCCAGAAAGGACCAAAGCACTGTTCTGGCAAACTGGAAGACCACCATTTTCCACCCCTAAATTAGTGCCACAGACATGCAATCTAGGGGAGATTGCCAGAGTTTTGTGTATCTGAATTTGCAAGTATGTTCTGTAACTGAAGCACAAGAGAGGGAGAAAGCACCAAAATCTGTAGTATTACTATTTCAAACTGCTATTCTCTATTGCAAATGTGTAAAATAGAGATTCAAAGTAAGAATTAACAAAGAGCTGCCCAGAAAGTGAAAATAAAAGCTAAAAATCTGATAACTTTGCTGTGTCTGAAGGATCTGTGTTTAGAAAGTCCTGGTATTTAATCTGAGACCTGATTCAGATTATTCTGTCCAATATAATGACAAAAGGTTGCATTTTTAAAGGAGATTAAGTGATTTACAGACCTAAATCCCATTGAAAATCAATAGGACTTAGGCTATTGAATCACTTAGCTACTTTAAAAGTATTTATCCATTAAATCCTTAGGGAGGATTACAAGCAGGTGGATAGGAAGCAGATACAAGCATTTAATTTATGACCAAAAGGTCGTATCTTGTTTTCACTGCCCATCAAATGCAATTTCCCATGCTCCTTGTTTCATCATCAGTTGCTTTCTTGTCTTTCCAGCTGTAACCACTTAGAAATGTTAGTATAAACCCTGACCTCCGCCTTTTCCAACTGTGTCACACAGAGTTGCACTGGTAGCTATTTCTCATAGTTGTTAATGTCAACATTTTTGTCCCCCTTCTCTGTGGGCACAGAAAACACTTGTCTCAAAAGCAGCTTACCTTACCTGTTCCCTGCATATATTGTCAACTACTTTTTCTATTTCCATATTATTGAATCCCAATACATGTGGTGCCCACTTAATAACTCTTACAATTACCTTCTTTGAAAAAGGACTGTTTTTTTATCTCTCAAGGAACTTAGCTCAGTACCTGGTTTCATACTTAATTCCTAAGTCCTTAGCTACTTCAATCTATAGATTTTCCTTAAAATTTCATCTTTTTGACCATGACTTTTTTTTTTCCACCTGATAAATACATTTTTGAGGATGTCTTTTGTTGTTGTTGTTGTTGTTAGTTTCTTCTCCTTTTATCACTTTTGGAGTGTTCCAATCTAAAGACATTTACAATTATCCACTATCTTTTTTTTATTGCTATTTAACTACAATTTTACTGTTGTTTTTTTTTCCTATAATCGTTCCTTCAATTAAATACAGTAGCCCAAAGAACAGCAATATAATGCAGTTCCAACCTCAAAAATAAGTCAACTGACTTCTGACCTGTAGTTGCTATTACACAGCTCTTTTACACCTTGCAAAATGATTTACTGCTCTCTCTGTTCATATCTCATAGGCAGTGTTAACATTTATTCATCCATTTGGGCACTGGCAGGCATCCTCTACCAAATGTAGTTGCACTGGTTCGAGAAGCAAGCACTCCCAGCTGCTTGCTGGCTTTTCCTTCACCTTGAGGTTATTGCTCTCTCAGTAGAGTTGAAAAATGAAGCCAGTACACACAATACATCACCACAGGGCAAAAATAACAAGAATTTTCCTCTCAGGCACATTAAAACAAGATACTGGTCTTTGCATTGAAGTATGTGTACACAGCCCCCTCCAGCACTCTGCGGGGCTATACTAATAGGCAGAGGAAGAGAGGCAACTACTGCAGTCATTTCTCAAGTGAACGTGAGTCTGTACCCCCATCAGTCATTTTCTGATACTGAAAATACATTATTTCAGTTCCAGTTTCAGTAGCACTTTCTGTAGCTTTTTAGGGGTGGGATTTCTATACTTTATTGTAAACATAATGCACTTTAACTCATATTTTGTGTTCAAGCCCCACCACACTACTGAAGGAGAAGCTCAGCAATGCCCTGCTTGCTCATCAGCATGCCGCACACCCTGCTCCAACCCAACCGGCCGGCGTTGCCGTCACGCTCCTGCAGCCTCACTCTGCACTCCCAGGGCGTGGATGGCTTCAGCCTCTGGGCGTAGGTAGCAACAACTTTCATAAACGCCAGCTGTAATTCACTAGAACGTTCATCAAAACAAACAGTTCTAAAAACGTAAGTGAGGAATGATTCCTTTGGGGCAATCTTTAGACTACAGTGATAAGAAAAATCTGAATAAAGAAAGCTAGCAGCGTGTTCTGTTGACGTTGCAAAAGAAAAAGATATAAAGAGATTTTATTTCCCAGCACATCACAGGGTGTAATAATAACTAATTCTGCTAAGAGAACAAGAAGGAAAACAGAGCTGCACATTTATCTAAAAATATGTAGCATTTTTCAAGGTGAATTTAACTGTAGACCTCAGAGAAAGAATGGATCGTTGCCTAGATTAAAATTGTTTTGTAATAACCATTTTTTACCATTAAATTGCAATGCTCTTGACTTTACAAAATGGCAACCCTCCAGCAGGAAACAAATTTGGATCTAGCCTGACTTCCCATTTATATCAATAATGGGATATGCTGTAAAGAGTAAATGTCTATTTCCTGGAAAAAAGCAACTGGCTTCTATTTTCAAACATCCCAAAGAACAGCTGGATTTTCTGTTCTTGCAGTTTTACAAATGCAAAGGAGCTCACCTTATTTTAAGTTTGACATGATTATACAGCATAACATATTCAATACTTTTACTTTTACTGTAAAATACTATATTACATTACATTCACACATTGAAAAAACAGATGAATTTAATTATCCAAAATTTGTAATAGAATGAACCACAGAAGTTTTCAGATATAAATTTGAAACATTTGCAAAATATCCTTCATTACCTGTCCTCCATAATAAAATTCCTCAGAATCATTATCCCCTTCAGAATCTTCTTCAAGTGTGCTGTTGTGCTGTGACTCCTTAATTAAAAATGAAAATTAACAATGATAAAAGCAGTATCTCTGTCTTGCATTTATTGTTCTGAGTGCAGGAAGAGTGTATTCTGCAAATAATCTCTATGCACACAATAAACATTTTATTTTTCATGAGGAGTACTATGGGCCGATTTTAAGCATAGTGAAAGAGCAGACAAAGCTTACACACACTGTTGGGGCACGAGAAAACAACCCTGAATGTATGTCGGAGAAAAATACTTTGTCAGAGGATACAGACAGTGTGGAATTTTAGGAATTGGACTAGAATATTCAGGACTACTTCACCCTGTGGTCCCGCTAAACAAAGCATACTTTACCCACCAAGACAGAGGTTCTGTACTTAATTCACTAAGCATTTCAGTGACCTAATATAGTTTTAATTAACTTGATTCTGGTAAATCAATTCTAATAGTTTAAGGAAATAATTCAAGCCTAAGCATGGGATCCTTTAAGTCCCTTTCTGTGAAAAACTCTGACAAATCTCCACTTAATTATTGTAACAAAAGTACCAGCCTGTTTCCAGGAAAGTTAAAACTTAATTTTCTGACTGCCTCTGTTCTAAGACTTTGAAAATTAAAGATTAGAAAGTAATATGCTTACCCAAGTAAAACCTGCTCTAAATAGGCTGCTCTGTGAATAATTGCACGCAAGTAAATAGAACCGCTTATGGTACAGACTTCAACTTAGCATGAACTGCAGAGTTATATTCTGCTTGTTACCAATGAAGCCTTTAGTTATAATTATGTAATTAATTAAAAATATTAATCCTTGTTTCTCATAATACATTAGTTATTTCTAGGCTCTGTTCTGACAACGATCCCATAAAGAATACCTGATAAAATCTTAACTCTTTACTTCAATCCAAACACCATGTACTTTTTGCACATTTTGTGTTTATGTCCTACACATTCCTGTGTTAGACAATCTTTAAGGTCCCTTCCAACCCAAACCATTAAATGATTCCATGATACACAGAACTGTCACAATGGAATACAAATCAGACGTGTGAATCAAAGAAGAGAAGGTACCCCAAAATGCCCTACATTTATAAATGTCAAATATACTCATCACCAATTTCTATGGTCAGACAATACAATCCCACCTCCTTACCTTTACCTCTAAAGTCCTTCTGTAGTTACTACATGTACACATAGAACAAAAATTGTATTTCAGCCAATTTCACAGCGATTTTTTGAGGTAAGGCATAAAATTCGTATCTCCTTCTACCTTACTAAAAAGAAATAAAGTGACTTCAATCATCTTTGTTTAATAATAACCCTAGCTAAAGGGGAAGTTTGTGTTAAAACAGAACCCAAGAGAACAAAAAAAAATCAATGCCAACTAAAGAGAAATGAAACTCTCACATGAGAACAGTATAAAACCCACCCTATCCTAACTCAGATTTCTAACTGTCAAGCCAACAGTGTTAGCAACTTATTTAAAGGCTTTTTCAGTGTTTTTATACTTATGCACCTTTGTTCAATTAAAAAAAAAAAAGGAAAAACTCAAAAGTCTGTCCCATGGAAACTTAACTATATCTCAAAGTTTTAATCAAAAGGGTAAATTCTGCATCAAAAGGGTAAATACTGCATTTAAACTTTTAATGTTTACAGAGCATTGCATACAATTATGTGGCAGTAGAATCAAAATATTTCCAAGTCCAGCTTTTAAAATCAAATGGAATTTCACATAATGAAAACAAACAACCATATACATTATCCAATATTATCCATTAGCCAACAAACAACTAATATCCATTATCCATCTGATCATATTTAGCCCCTTTTTTCTGGAATAAAATACAGATCACAGCCTAAAAGGCATTAATCATAAAACAAATATTCCTAATCCAGAAATCAGCATTATCAGAGAAAGTCTTGAAGTTAAGCACTTGAATTTTTGATACTGTGCTCAATCTCTTCCACCAGTCATGGTGGGAGCCTATGTGGTACTTTCTTTGAGGCTCTAACACTGTCAGCCCCTGAAGACCTCATCTTTTACTGCCATTTCTTTCTTAATATCATCTCAGTGAGACTAGTTAGGGGCCCATACCAGAGGTACAGCACAAATACAATGATGACTGAAAAACCTTCACACTCCAGATATTACTTACAGTGAACATTGTCAGGAAAAGTTCCAGAGACTCCAGTGGGATTGCTGTAGGCCACAGCAGTGCGCTAAGTAAGCCAAGACATTTCTTCCAAAATGTCTTGTAAGGGTGCATTTGACAGGAATTCTATTCCATTACATATTATTTTCTGTTGTTTCTTAAAATATCTTTTGTTAAAATATACATACAAGAAATACATACCTCTCCATTCTCCCTCTGTAATTTTGATTTTATGGATAAGCAATAGTTGACATCGCTGGTTTTTCTTAGTTCTTAAAATAAAAGGGAAAATAGAGAACATCTGTGAAAAATGTGAAATACTTGTATATATACTGACTTGAAATACTTGGTTGAAATAGTTAAGTATCTAAGTTACAGGTATGAAGGACACCAAAGTGTTTACAATACAACAGTCTAAAATTAACAAGAGACTACGTTTCAGAATACTCATGTTTTTAACTGTGAAATGAAATTCAGCTGGTCCATTCAGGATATTTTGTTTTCCCAATCAGTAATTTAAACTTCTGTGTAAAACAAGAATGAAAAGAATGAAAGATCAAAAGCCCGCTACAATAATTAAATCAGATTGACTTATATACAAAATATAGGTTTAGATTTTATTTTAAATGATAGGCTTTACTTTTCAAATTACGTACACATTTGCAAATAAAATTTAATCTATTCAAATTAATAAAATTTAATAAAATCCTAAACTTCAGGCTATTACAACCAGTTTTTGTTAGGGTGCCACTTTAGTAAAATTATTCTTGATTTACTATATAAATGAAATCACAGACTGAAAATCGTATTGATTTTCCATTGGAATTCAAAGTAATTCTGTGTTATACATGCACACAAAAATACCTTAAAGCTCTGTAACAATAATAAAAACACCACAAAGTCAAACACAGTTATCTGCAGAACAGCTAGATTTACTTTACTCATATAGAAGAAACTTTACTCAGTTTCTCCTATAGCCTGAAATCATCAAGGAATTTAGCTGATAAAGTCTAAAAAAATCTGTATGGAGTATATAGAGATTGTGGTTATATATTCTTTATAAGTGCCTAAATCTCTAAATACCATTATATGTATTAAATGTTTGGTTAGGTTTTTTTTGAAAGTATGGATGTAATTTCCAATGAAGAGGTTCCCAAAATCACTGGAAAAAATATTTTTTCCCGTAGTCTCATTTGTGAAATAGCTGAACCATTTTGTTTGAAATTTTCTGAAATAATTCACCAGAGGCAATGATAGTTATAGACTGTTTCATCCCCAGTGGTACAGATTTCATAAAGGTTTAAGCAAGTGAGCATGAAAACTTATAATTGGGAAGTATTAAGCACCTCTAACTGTATTTGAGGAGAATTACTTTAGCACAGACTGCAGGACATTAAAGGAATAAAATACATTCTGCCTACACAATTGTGTTGATCCCCAAAAGAAGTATTTAATTTATTCTATTCTGAAATGTAGGACAATTTACTACAGCAAGCCTGTGAAGAACTAGTGAGCTGTACAAGTACGCACATTAACACATCTCCCTTTAAGTACGGGAAATGTCTTGTCCTTCCTCACAAAATATGAACTTGGTAAAATAATCAGGACATAAGATTACCTGTAGCAATTTGGTGGAAAATTACTGGAATTGGCTCTGTTGTAACTAACACATCTTCATCGTTATCAGAACTGGAAACATATGTGTTATCTACAAAAGAAAAACACTTTGCATGTTGAAGTCCTGTGGTGCTCTGCCAGTCCCTTCCCTCGTTGCACAACCCACCCTTCTATCATAATGAATCACTTCCCAGATGATGAGGGAAACCCAACACTATCATATTCTTGCTGTGCCTTTTTCTGAAGAGATTGTACATAAAAGAAAAGTACCAAAAGGATGGAAGAACCAAATAATATACATCCAAACCCCCTGCATTCCAACATCACAGCTTTCATGAAGTGTACCAAGCACTGCTCAGAACTGTCCCAAGACCCATGGGGGTTGTTGCCAACCTTTTCCAAAAGGAAGACTTGTTCTACATTTTCTGTCATGCTTGATACCAACACTTAGGCTTGGTCAAACATGCAGTGAGCTGGCTGTTAACAGCATATTATGCAAAATATATATGCCTCATGTTGTTGGTTAGTCACAAAAAGGATGTTTGAATTATCTTCTCATCAATGGAGAACGTTTCTTGTGCCTGATTCAGTAAAAAAAAAATCTTTTGTTCCCTTCAAAAACTTTCAGTACGGGTATGAATACTGAAAGCACACTTCAAACTTTCTTATAAAACGTGGGAATAGACTGTGATTTTTTATTTCCAACCAAATCTCCACTAACAAAAAAAAAGGAGCAGCAAGTTTTTATGCAGTCTGAACAGAAGCTAATTTTACATGAACTGCTGAACTGCCTATGAAAGTACTAAAATTTTTTTTTCTAATTATCTGGGCTAAATTGGACTTTCCACTCTAGAGCAGAAAGGCTGACAATTAAGATAATCAGAGATAGAGAGGCTAGTAAGAGAATTGAAAGGGCTTGATCTATCATGATTCTGAGCACTTTGGTTCCGCATCAGCACAGGGCATGAACTCGCATGCATTTTTAAACACAATGCTGCAACCCAAGTCTTAAAGCCTTTGACCACGGTGCTTCTGTGGAATGCTAGAAATAATGTAAACATTAATTGATCCGTAAATCCAGCAATTTACCACCTATACTGCAGTGGCCCTGGGAAGTCTGCATCCAGACTGAGCCCTAGGGAGGCTGCCCCCTCCTTGCAGCAGCATCAGCGGTTCCCACAGGTGTGCCACTCTGCCTTTGCAGACAGGCAGCTGCACCGCCATGCACAGACAGGCACGTGGGGCTTTCCCAGCCTGCCACCTGGGAACCAGCCTTTCTGCCACCTTCACGCAGAGCTACCATGTCTGGCACTACCCCACACCTTCGCCTACTTCCACTCCTGCGCTGTCCCGTGAGGTAACCCAAGTAGTCTGTGCACAGCACAGCAAACACATACTGCGAGCAGGTAGCTGCTCCCGGAGGCTGACCCCACTTTCCCCTGAGTGCTGCACTCCGTGGGCACCACAACCTGCTCCATCTGCTCAGTCTGCATCTGCTCGGCTACATGCTTGGCACGGGGACGTGTTTTAGAGCCACGGCACAGCGAGAGTAAGAGGGGCTGCCTCCAGCCATCTGCCAGCACTCACTCCTCCTGCCACTTTTGTCAGTCTGTAAGCTATGCACCCAGGGCAGCTGCTTCTCACCCTCCCCCTGACCCCCTGCCTAGCCTCTATTTGCAGGCTCCACCTTGCCGTCACCGTTTCAGTGCCAGCATCACCACGTTGGATGGCTCTGGGCATACAACACATGCCCACTCCTTTCCCAAGTCTGGAAGCGTAGCTTACTGCTGTAGAGAGCATCATTTAGATCTAAATAAATTTAGCCAGCTCTCACTATTTGGGTGCAGATAAGGAAATCCATGTGCTAGAATGTATTGCTATATGAAAAAGTAGGAAATACAGCAATCTGTGCTGTACAGAATATATGATTACCAAGAATATATGGAAAAAAAGGCTGACTCAATTAAGGTTTTATTGATTTTAATTACATTTTATGCCCATTGCTTGTCATTCTTTCGTGGCAGCTGGATAATATTTTTCACTGCCAAGCTTTTGTTTTCCTTTTCTACTTGGCAACCACTGCTTTTTTTGTATTTGTTTCTGTGTGTGTGTTTTTCCTTTCCTGTCCTGTCAGTGTAATGAAACTTGAAATGAAGATACTGGTTTTGGTCTGCTTTCTTCAAGATCCCATTTCCAACACAGCTAGGTGGAGTCTGCCTGAACTTGTTGCAGGTAGGCAACCAATTCCTCACTGCCAATCTGGGTGTCCCCATCTCTGCTGCAGTCTAACGCAGTCTAAGAGAGGGATGTTTTTGTTAATGTGTCCATAACCCACAGACCACCAGGATAAAAGACCACAGCAGTTCTAAAAGTTTATGGCAGCTAGCAAGTATCAGTCAAAACATATATTCATTAGCAAAATACTTGCTGCTGTAATGGTTCTCACAGGAGTCATGATCCACTCATATGAAAGGGACTTTAGTCTACTCATTGATGTTATATTCTGTAACTGCTCCTTAGGAGCACTATTCTCCCCCACTTTTGTAAATGCTGTGAGAAAATGGTTACCAAGATATTTTGCTTGAACTGTTATTATCTGCCTCTAAAATTTTTAGTTATATTTTCACATTTTCAGCAATGTATAAATAACTTTCAGACATTACTGTCTCAACACTCTTCTGATTAACTTCTTCAGTGCACCGTTGTGAGCATATTTTTAGCTTTCACTTGCAATTATGAAACTTTCAAACACATTCTATTACTGAAAGTTGTCATGTCATATTATGGTTCCCAGAGGTATGATTTAATGCTTAGCTGTTTGTAATCTTTTGATGCTTTATGAAGCAATTCAGCAATATCTGCACACTGTTATCAGTGTCAACGTGGTGATGCTGCATATACAATAGCAGTGCAGGGAGATAGAGTATACACAGTACCCAAAGGTCTTTTTATGCTATCTAAAATTCACTTGTGGTATCACTTCTGGCTGAATGAACATTTGTAAAGCAGCACTTTTATCTCTCCATATATTTATTACATACACTAGCGATTTATCTGATAATCAGTTCTGATGGTCTTCTGCTAGTATTTGAAGTTTGATCCACTGTGTATTGCACACCCTTAATCTCTAAAGGATACAACTTTGATACAGCTACACACTAATTGACTTAAACCATGATCTGTAAAGACTTATCCAGTGAGAAACTTATCTGATGGGCATCTACTGCTCTGAACTCTAGTAACAAGCAACAATGCTTGAAAGGCATATTCCAGTTGAGGAGGAGGATACCAGTAGAGAGTTTCTTTACTTGACACCACCTCGCTTTGATGTGTCCCTAAAATATCCCTTAAAATACATGCCAGAAAAGGGATAACATTGCTGCTGATCATGGCTAACTTAAAAGATTTAGTACAAATACAGGAGACAAAGACACTGGCTCACCAAATCAGAGTGAGTATTTTCAGCATCAATGTTGTAAAATGACAAAGAGTCATTATCATTCCTAACACACTAGATATCTCTTCTTCACAAAGCAGATGTACATACCATG